GACGTGTGTTATATGACACAGATGCACAAAAGGAGCAGCTGGCAACTGCAGCCACAGACATCATTCGTTCCTGGCTGCATTTTCCAACTACCCNCAAAGCAATTTCTCAGTGGATGTTCATTGCCACTATCAACAAGGTCATTGATCGGCACTCCATTTTTTTACTGGAGCCTGTTTGGACTGCATTTCAAAGCCCACTTCTTACATTGGAGGGCAGAAATCAAGGAAGCAATAATCGAACTGAAAAACATCCAATTTGGAGACAGTTTGAAGCTTCTTTGCGACAGCATCCATTGGCAAAACCACATTCATGGTTGACGGAGAAGTTTGAGGTACTGCATGAGACTGTCATGACGTGGATAAAAGAGAGTCAGATTGATCGCAAGGCCATTGAGAAGGCACAGCTTGTATTCACCAATGCACGTTCTGAATTCAGAGCAGGAAACACTAGTTCTGGAGCCAAGAAACGGTCCAAGACCAAAGGATTCAACTCGGACACATCATCACTTCCCCAGTCCAAAGATGACAGAAGAATGCTTTTTGTCAACTTTCTGAGGCGTGGGCTGCCCCTTTTGGAGCAGGGACTCTCTGTGCATGTGAACAGCTCTGACAAATTTCTCAAGAAGATGGCAAATTCACCTGACAAATTCATGCCATACAGAGAACATGCTCCCACTCGTATTATTTCACGAAATTTGATATATGATGATCCAGAATGGCTGAAGACACCAATTGGTTTCTGGAATGTTCTGTGCTTCCGTGGAGTTTTCTTTGGCTCAGAGTTTGCTCGTGACAATGGACGTCATTTCGAGGATCTGGATCAGTGGAAAGCGTTTAGCAAAGGCAAAGCAGAAAGCTATTTCATTGTCAAGACTGCCTATGGGTCTTTTCAAGGAGACCGAAGCATCGATCGGGTTGAAGAATACTGGGAAAAAAGGGATCTATGGGAGCCACTGATGAATAAGAAGGACTTGACTATTTTTGACATTTATGACTTCCTGCTCCAGTCATCTGCTGGCGGTGGAAGGTCAACATCAAGTCGAAAGAGGGGATCTTGGCAGTC